ATATATATATATATATATAGACTTAGGATCATGTGAGATCAATGGTTTTTCGTGAGACCCGTAAGACCAATTCTCAACCATTGGATTAGATTTACAATCATCAGATCTAAACATTCATAAACGCCACAAGACTTCTCAATAATTACAAATTGCCACCTTGCAACTTTATACCGTTAGATCATTAGATTATAAAGTTGATCAATGAACATAAATTGGTCTTACGGGTCTCACGAAAAACCCTTGGTCTCACGTGACCCAACCCTATATATATGGGACCCTATATAAATATGTGTGTGTGTATATATATTAACAAAAGAAGGGACCCCATATTATTTATATATATATATATATATATATTAACAAAAGAAGGGGATCATATATATATATATATATATATATATATATATATGGGTCATTTAAGGAAAAACTGATTAGTTTGTGATAACTGTGAGATCCAATCTTAACAGCAAATCAACGGATAAATTTAGAAATTAGTAATTATGATAATTTGAGTTAAAATTATGATTATAGAGCATTATTTTAGGTATTTTTAAAAACTCTTCTCTCCTCTCTCTAACCTCGGATCTCCAGCCTCCGATGAACATAATTTTGGCCGGTACCAAGTAATCACATAGATACACAATGTGATACCCATTGTGATACCAACTATGATATCAACCTAAACCTTAAAACAAAATCAAATCCCTAATCTAAATTTAGGAGATACATACAGACGTGATACCCAAAATACATACAAGATGCATTGTGATACCCAAAGTAGTACCAACTGGGATTCCACTGTGATACCTCTAACACCAACTACATTACCACGGTGATACTAAACCTTAATACACAAAATCTTCGATTTGTAGCCAATGATTTTACCAAAAAGAAACGTTGCCGGTCTTCGATATCGGTAATTTTCTTTCATGTAGAATCTTCGACTTTTCAGATTTGTATTTTTCGAAAATTTTATTTGATGCAAACCTTCGATATCTAGATGTTCTCAGACCAACACGAGGCGTTCTATTCTTCACAGAAGTGTTGAATGTTATTGATCTTCTACCACTTGAACGTGGTGTTTAGAATGTTTATGTATCAGAGGGCTGCACATAATAGGTTTACAGTGGTGTTCACATTGTGCTCTCAATATTATGGATGTACAAAAATTAGGATGGTGGTAGTCGGACGTGTTGGGGACAAAGGAGATGTGTGAGAGAGAGAGAGAGAGAGAGATAGAATAGAGAGAGGAGAAAGAAAGAGGGGAGGGAGGTGAGAGGGGATTTTTAATTACCCATAATACCCTTTATTAAAAAAATTGCAATTCAAAATTACTAACTTACTAATCTAATATAATTTAGTGACTTCAAATGAACATTGTTTCCACAAAGTGTTAGTTCTTAAAAGAAGACCCCTTATGTATATTGGGACGTTTTTAATTTACAAATCATCTACTTCTAACAAATCATACAAACCAATCTTAGTCGTTCATCTAGTCTAATAAATATCTGAAGATGTGATCATAATGAATGAACTTTATTATCATCCATATATAACTCAATCATAATTAATGAATCATGACAATTGTCTATAAATATCTCTATTGTTTCTTAAATTAAGCATTGTTTATGGTTTGTATAGTTTGCTAGAATCAGATGGTTTGTAATTGTAACGTCCCATATATATATATATATATA